CCCAGGCTGGAGTGCAGTGGCCGGATCTCAGCTCACTGCAAGCTCCGCCTCCCGGGTTTACGCCATTCTCCTGCCTCAGCCTCCCGAGGAGCTGGGACTACAGGCACCCGCCACCTCGTCCGGCTAGTTTTTTTTATGTTTTTTTAGTAGAGACGGGGTTTCACCGTGTTAGGCAGGACGGTCTCGATCTCCTGACCTTGTGACCCGCCCGTCTTGGCCTCCCAAAGTGCTGGGATTACAGGCTTGAGCCACCGCACCGGGCCCTTTTTTTAATTTTTAATTGGTTGCTTATGTTTCTTCAAAGGGTAATTTTAAAAATTAAAATCATATATATTTCACCTTTATAAAAGTGATAAAGATTCACAGAATATTTGGAAAAAACAAAAGTAAAAGCAGGGGCTACAATCCTTCCACCAAATTCTCAGTTATCACTAGCGCAATTCATTCTGGTTTTTTTGGTTTTTTGTTTTTTAAATATACATAGGGCTATTTTTTTTTTTTTTTTTTTTTTAAATTCAGGAAAAAATGTAAGGCCAGGCACAATAGCTCACACCTGTAATCCCAACACTTTGGGAGGCTGAGGCAGGAGGATTGTTTATGCCCAGGAGTTTGAGACTGGCCTGGGCAATATAGTGAGACCTTATCTCTACAAAAATTAGCCAAGCATGATGGCGTACACCTGTAGTCCCAGCTCCTTGGGAGGCTGAAGTGCGAGAAGAGCTTGAGCCTGGGAAGCAGAGGTTGCAGTGAGCCGATATCATGTCACTAAACTCCAGCCTGGGCAACAGAGTAAGACCCTGTTTCAAAAAAAGGAAAAATGGGGCTGGGCACAGTGGCTCATGTCTGTAATCCCAGCACTTTCAGAGGCCAAGGCAGCTGAATCATCTGAGGTCAGGAGTTTGAGACCAGCCTAGCCAACATGGCGAAACCCCGTCTCTACTAAAAATACAAAAAAATTAGCTGGGCATGGTGGCGCGTGACTGTAATCCCAGCTACTTGGGAGGCTGAGGCAAGAGAATCGCTTGAATTTGAGAGGCAGAGATTGCAGTGAGCTGAGATCACACCACTGCACTCCAGCCTTGGTGACATAGCAGGACTCCATCTCTAAATAAATAAATAAATGTAGTTTTAAAATGCAAGTTTACTTTTTTTAAAAAAAAATATATATGTTTTGAGACAAGGTCTTGCTCTGTCATCCAGGCTGGAGTGCAGTGACACAGTCATAGCGCACTGCAGCCTCAAACTCCCTGGGCACAAACAGTCCTCTGCCTCAGCCTCCTGAAGTGTTAGGATTACAGGCATGAGCCACCATGCCTGGACAATTTGTGTTCTAAATTTGCACTTGACTAAAGTTCTTACCGTATACTAATGTAAACGATTCATAAATATCATTTTCTTTTCTTTTCTTTTCTTTTTTGAGACGGAGTTCCACTCTTGTTGCCTAGGCTGGAGTGCAGTGGCGCCATCTTGGCTCACTGCAATCTCCGCCTCCCGGGTTCAAGTGATTCTCCTGCCTCAGCCTCCTGAGTAGCTGGGATTACAGGCATGCGCCACCACGCCCCGGCTAATTTTTGTATTTTTAGTAGAGATGGGGTTTCTCCATGTTGGTCAGGCTGGTCTTGAACTCCTGACCTCAGATGATCCGCCCACCTCGGCCTCCTAAAGTGCTGGGATTACAGGCATGAGCCACCGCGCCCTGCCATAAACATTTTCAATGGCTCAGCTTTAAACATCTGCCCAGCAGGGCCGTGCGTGGTGGCTCACGCCTGTAATCCCAGCACTTTGGGAGGCCGAGGCGGACGGATCACAAGGTCAAGAGATCGAGACACCATCCTAGCTAACCTGGTGAAACCCCATCTCTACTAAAAATACAACAAATTAGCCGGGAGTGGTGGCGGGCACCTGTAGTCCCAGCTACTCAGGAGGCTGAGGCAGGAGAATGGCATGAACCCGGGAGGCGGAGCTTGCAGTGAGCGAAGATCGTGCCACTGCACTCCAGCCTGGGTGTAAAAAAAAAAAAAAAAAATCTGCCCAGCGAATATAGCTCAGTTTACAAAGGATCTTTGAGTCCATAAGTATGTTGCTCTTTGCTGTATGCAGGAATTTAACGTCATCAGTAGATGCCAGACCGTGT